GCTGGCCAACAGCTGCAATGAGTGCTGTGTCAGGCAGTGCCAGAGCTCCACCGTGGCCATCCAGCCCTCTGCTGTGGTGGTGACCCTGCCCGGGCCCATCCTCAGCTCCTTCCCACAGAACACCGTGGTGGGATCCTCCACCTCCGCTGCCGTTGGCAGCATACTCAGCTGTGACGGAGTGCCCATCAACTCCGGGGGCTTTGACCTCTCCTGCATCACCAGATGCTACCCTTCCAGATGTGGGCCCTGCTAAAGACCCTGCAAACATCCTGGGGCAACAACCTGCAAGACCTCTGATCGTGCTGCTGGACTGAAAAGAGAACTTTGGGACATTGTGTTTAGAGCTTCAAGATGATGTTTCCTTCTCCCACTCTTCCATCTCTTTCCTTTGCTGTCTCTGTCTCCCCAGCCCCATCCCAGGGGGATCCGTCTCCTTTTCTGCCTCTGCCAGGCAGGCAGATAGACACACTGCAGGAGCTCCACTACATCTCAGTCGCTGCTGCTGGTGCCCTCTGGGAGCCACCTGCTTTTTTTCTTTAGCCTCATTAAATTTTTTGAGCATCCAAGCCTGGCCCTCCGAGTCCTACTTCAATCTGTGCATCTCTTCCAGTCTATTCAGGGAAGAAAGATGGAGGAAGCAGAGTGTGGGATTTTTTTCCTTGGATTTTGCTTTGTGCTTTTTCCATTGGAGCTGACAAAGATATCCCTTGCTACTTGACAGCTAGAGGCCATCAGGAAGACCATTGTGTCTAAAGGGTGGTAGAAGTGGGGAAGGGAGTCAACAGTGTCAGGGGACAGCCCACAGCCTCATCTTTTCTTTCTCCTCCCCTGCCTTACCCACTCTGGGGTCCATGGGCAGCACACAGGAGCACAGGCAGATGAGATTCCTACCTCCTGCAGTCCCTCAGCACAGGCAGGCAAAGCCTCTGAGCAGACATGCAGGGCTGGGATAATCCCACCTCGGGATTGGGATCAGCCACACTCAGTGTTGTGGTTTAAACCCATCTGGAATTTAAGCAACATGCTACTGGTGGTGGATTGTGGAGGAGAATCAAAGTAGAACTTGTAGTTTAAGATCAGTTTAATAATTGAAAATAAGTAAAATATGGTGGTAACCGTAAACAATAGTGATAATGGTAATAAAATGGGAAAAGCAAGGGGTGCACCATGCAGTTGCTCACCACCTGTTGAGTGATGCCAGACTCCCATTCCTGAAGTCAGATTGGTCCTTCCTGGGTAACTCCCCCCATTTTATTTACGGGGCATGATGTTCCTTTTTGTGGAATACCTCTTTGGTCATTTCAGGTCATCTCCTCTGGCTCTGCTCCCTCCCAGTTTCGTTTCTGGACCTCCTCACTGTCAGAGCATGAGACAAGAAAAATGTCCTTGACTTCCTATAGACATGACTTAGCAAAAACGCCAAACATCCGTGTGTTGTGAACACCATTCTCATCCTGAACCCAAGACATAGCCCTGTAACAGCTACTGAGAAGAAATTAACTCCATCCCAGTTGAACCAGAACAACATACCCACCTTACTCCATATCATTTATGTCATGACAAGTTTTGCATTTCTCAATATCCCATCACCTTCCTCTTTATCTGTTTCAATAGATACATATACAGATATCATTCCTTTAGCCTGCAGAACACCTCTGTCAAATAACCATAAAATCTCCAGACAAAAATAATAATATTAAAAAAACACTTGAATTTATTTAGTCCATGACTCTTGGCTCCGTCCTTGGGAACAGTCTTTCAAGCAGGGGAGCTGGTGTGAGGTGTTGGATTGCTGCATGTTGCACAGTTGAGTCAGTTCTGATTGCAGCACTGCTGCTCTTGTTCTTTTTTATCCCAGTTCATTCTTCACTGGTGCGAGTGCAATGATCAGAGAGAATCAGGCTCAGATTCCCAGACTGCCTGTGGCTGATGTTGAGGCCTGAGGTGCTCAGTGAGGTGATGCACAGTTAGCCATCATAGAGATTGTAATGCACAGTGTCAGATAGTTCTTAACACTACACAATTTAATTTACTGGCTATTCTCAGCTGAAATCAGATCCCCTGGAGACACACACTGGAATTCCCCATCCTCCTGCATTACCTACTGTGATGGTTCGGACTTGGTTCCCTGCCAAATGTCCAAACTCACAGTAGCAGCCCCCTCTTCCCCCTCCCTCCTTCCCCCAGGGCAAAGGAAAAAACTATGTAAATTGAAGAACCTGAAATCAATCTAGTTATATAAAAATATATATTTTATATATATTACAGTTATATACAGTTAAGATGCTATGTACACAGCAAAAGGGAATCCAAACACCCCCTGAAGGGAAAGGAAAAGGGGAAAAAGGAACAAAAGGGGACAAAAAGGGACACTGAATAGATATACATAATCAAACTCAAGAACTACCAAAATAACTAGCAAAACAAATCTCACCACGTCCCTTAGAAAAGCAGGATTGGGAGACACAGCCAGCACTTTCCAAACCCCACACGTGGCAGGCCATCGGTCGCTGCAGCCTCAGCTTTAGATAAGCGAGACTAACGCAAGGACCCACTGCTCCTGAACCTCACCGGAAGAGAAGAGAGCGAAGGCCTCTCCTCCCTTATTATTTATACCCTGATTTACATAAAAATCGTATGGAATACTGGGAACACTGCCTCTTCCTTGGTTACAAACTGGTCACCAAGTAAGGCCTAGATTAAAACTACCACACCTACCAAGTGCACCCAGGAGTTGAAGCAAAAGGAATCCCGTGGATGGGGTTGCCTTTGCCTGAGGCAGGAAAAACCCAGAGTGTTTTCTCCAGCATGTTTTTAATGTGCACTGCAGGAACTTTATCCCCTTATACACTATGTAACAGTTTTGATTGGGCAGATCCCCATGTGTTGATTAACCAGGTGGCCTTTGCTAAATATGTATCCCAGTGCCTGCAGGTCCCACCACCCATTGCTCTACGTGTCATCTTCACAAGTCCATCAAATTCTTTGGACTTCCCAGAGGATGGTGAATGACAGGGGATGTGATTTACCCACTCAGTGCTGTGTTCTTTGCTCCAAGTGTATACGAAGTTGTTTCAGAAATGAGTTCCATTGTATGATTCAATTAATTCTGCAATACTGACTTGCTTTTCAAGGCCCAGGATGGGGGTCAGGGTGGTGGCATGGGACATAGGGAATATTCCCAACTAACTGGTGGTTGCTTCCACCATCATAAGCACACAGTGCTTGCCATGGTGGGTTTTGGGTAGTGGGACAGTTAATCTGCCAGGTCTCCCTGTACTTACATTTCATCCATCATTCTCCATCCCAGAAAGGCTTTACCTGCTTGGCCTGCTTGATGGCAGTGCAGGTTTCATAGCTATGGATAATCAGGGAGGAGGTGTCCATGGCTAAGCCCAGCCCTCAGTCACGAGCCCATCCGTATGTTGCTCAATGTCCCGAGTTTTCATGGACCCACTGAGCCAGAAATAATTCACCCTCGCATTACCAATCCAAATCCACCCGAGCCACTTCAATCCCAGCAGCCTGATCCATGGGCTGCTTTTTCTGAAAATCTTCAGTGGCCCCACTTTTGGGTACGTGACCATCAACATGATGTACCTTCACAGCCAGGTTCTCCACCTGGGCAGTGATGCCCGACAACAGTGCACAAGCCCAGGTGGGTTTACCTCTGCCCTGCCAGTTATTCTGCTTTTATTGCTGCAACCACCCCCACACAGCATTTGCCACTGTCATGAGTCACTACAAAGTACTGACCACTTCTTTTGTTCAGTGATGTGTAAGGCCAGCTGGATGGCTTTCACCTCAGCAAACTTCACCTCTGCAAGCTGATTCACCTTCTCCTTCAGCGGTTCCTCCTACTTGTCAAAGGGGACCCCATCAAGTTGATTCCATTCCAGTGCTTTCCCACCATCTGGCAGGATCCATCAGTAAACAAAGACTATTACTTCTCCCTTCCCTGTATATTTTTATACAGAGGGACTCTTTAGCATGTACTACCACCTCCTTTGGTGACATTCCCAAATCTTTGCCTTCTGATGTTCCATGACCAATTCCAAGGTTCTTAGATGAAAGGGGGTTCCTAACTGAGCTTAAGCTATAGAGAACCAAACTGCTGGGGGGATGCTGTGTGTGCCATCTGCCCAGTCACCATCTGCCTGTGACTGGAGGTGTGGTGGCCAGAAAGTGTCTCTTTGGGCACTGGGTGCTCTGCTGGAGCTACGGTTGCCCCTGGGGGTGTTGGGTTCAATGAATGGAGACTACACTGAGTAGCCTGATCATGGCAGATACTGATCCCAGCCTGAGAGTTGTCTCAGCCCTGGATGTCTGGACAGCAGCTGGGCCCTGCCAGGGACTGAAGGACTGTAAGAGGGATGGGTGTCTTCTGCCATTGACCACGTGTGCTGCTTGTGGACACTGAACGGGGTAATGGAGGGGAGGAAAAGGAAGAGATGAGGTTGTGGGCTTTCCCCTGACATTGTTGTTTCTCTTCCCCATTTCTACCACCCTTTAGGCCCATGGTGTCCCTAAAGATCTTTGGTTAAGGAAAAGCCAGAGATCTTTTTGAGAGCTGCAATGGAAAAAAAACCACAAAGTAAAATCCATGCATGGAGACCCACACTCTGCTTTCTGCAACGTTTACACAGAACATACTGGAAAAAATGCCTGGAATAAAGGAGGACTCTGAGGGCCAGGCTTGGATGCACAAAAACTTTAATGAGCGTAATGAAGAAAAGAAGGTGGATCAGAGAGAGCACAAAGCGCAGATGCTAAGATGCAGTGGAGCTACTGCAGGGTGTCTGCCCTTCAGAGGGAGGGAGGGTGACAGGTTGCACTGGGCTGGCCTGGGAAGGCACAGACAGCAAAGGAAGGAGATGAAAGAGTGGAAAAACCAAATAGCATCGTGAAGCTCTAAACACAATGTCCCAAAGCTGTATCTCCTGCCCAGCACCATGCTGTCAGATCTTACAGGTTGTTGCCCCAGGATGTCTGCAGGGCCTTTAGCAGGGCCCACATCTGCGAGGGTAGCAGCTGGTGATGCAGGAGAGGTCAAAGCCCCCGGAGTTGATGGGCACTCCGTCACAGCTGAGGATGCTGCCAACGGCAGCGGAGGTGGAGGATCCCACGGCGGTGTTCTGTGGGAAGGAGCTGAGGATGGGCCCGGGCAGGGTCACCACCACTGGGGAGGGTTCGATGACCACATGGGAGTCCTGGCACTGCCTGACACAGCACTCATTGCAGCTGTTGGCCAGCGGGGTGGGCCCACAGGGCTGGCAGCAAGGGTTGCAAGGCTGGCAGCGGGACATGTCTTGTAGCTCAAAAGGGCACCTGGAAGGGAGGGCAGAGGAGCACAAAGCAGGCACACATGAGAAGCAACCCTGCACCCAATCCCCCTGCAGCCAAGCCACCTCCTGCCCCACATTCCACTGCCCAGCCCAAAGCCCACCAGCCTCCTCAGCCAAGTCCCAGCCTCTCTCTGCACAACCCCTTCTCTCCCCTTCCCTCTCCCAGCACCAGCAGCTCCCAGCCCTGGCCTAGCACAGCCCACAGCAGCTGAGACCTGCAGGGAGGAAAGACGTGGTCTTGAATCAGCAGTAAGAAAAGAGGCTTCCCACTCACCTGATTCCTGAGGAGAAGGAGGTGAGAGAAGTGGATGAGAGAGCAGAGACTTGGGCTGCCTTTTATAGCAGTCCTGCCCTGCCTCAGGCCCACAGGCACCTTTGTGGAAGTCATAATTTTCTGACCTGCTTATGCCAGTTGTGAAGCATCCCAGCTAATGGCAGGGGCTGTGTCCTGTTTTCCTGCACTGCTGCCTTTTCATTTCCTAGCTAATTCCTCATGCCTTCCTATATGAAAGCTTCTGGAAGATGCCTGGATGAGTGGCTCAAGGATTTGCAGGGCAGAAAGATGTCAGCACAGGCAGAAGGCTCTGATCAAGATAGGTGGCGTCTCTTGTTTACATTTGATGTTCTTCTAGGTCATTTATAGTTGGTTTATTTGTGGAAAAAGTTGTCAGAAAATGGTCACCACTTTTGTGTTTCTTGCTTACATGCCCCAAGAATGCCAAGTGAGTGGCCACGAGTGCACAAGTGGGAGATGATGGACTTTGTTTCCTTCTTTCAACCTCCAACACCCAACAACACCCACCTCGCTACAACCTTTTTCCAGTTAATGACAGAGGGATAAGTTCTCCCCTGAGTCTCCTGTTTACCAGAGTAAATAAATCTGGAGTCCAGCTATAAGGTTTACCCCGGGTGGAGATTTCATCACGTGAGACTGGGGAGAGGTGAGACGACTGGTTGAGAGCATTGTCTGTGCCCAAAGGAGCTGAGCTATGCTGGGACACTCCCTAAGCCAAGTATTCCTCCACAGAAAATCATTCATTCATAAAACATAAAATTAATTCACCATATTGTCAAGTGAAGGACTCACAGATGTTGTTTTGTGTTTGGGGGAACCAGCCTGATGAGGGAATGGATGGAAAACTGTCCCTTTGGGGTTTGATGCATTCCTGAGGCAATGCTGCCTTATCCTACAGATAGGTTAAAAGATGCAAATTTGGAGAAAACACTCTGATCCCTTTCCAGAGAAGTAAAGGGAGATGGTGGGCATGGCCTTTCTTCCACACCCCATGCATGGAGCAATTGACTCTCCCCCTTGAACAGAGACCAGGCACGGCTCTTCAGTTCCAACGGGAGGGCAGCACCTCTGACCAATAATGAGAGAATGTGCTCATGGAAGGGTCAGAACACTTGGCCATGGATGCCAAATCCCACTACACTCAGTCCCAGCAATGACCTATCTCTAAGCTCTTGGCCTTGCATGTGCTGGCCCTCCTCTTTCCTCAACACGCAGTCAAACATTTTGACATCCAGCACCTTCCTGCTCTGCTCACCAAGTCTCCACCTCATCCAGAGCAAAGTGCAGGCTCTGAAACTGGGCTGCTCATCACTGGTATGTAGCCACCAAAGATCAAGGCTCTGCTGAGGAGATGCAGAGGACCACCCTGGCAGAGCAAGACTCCAGTACACCACAGAAGGACAGAGGACCCAGAGAGGGCACAGAGGGGGGATGAGATGAATGACCCAGTACACTGTTCTGAGAGGACACTTAGAGTAGCAATGGGGTCAAACCACCCCCAGTAGAAGGCCACCTGAGTGCAGGAGTGACCAGCACAGAGAAGGGGTGGAAGCAAAAGAAAAGGATGTGTCATGTCCCCTCCATGGCAGTCCCTGGGCACGTGTACAAGAAGCCCATTTCCTGACAACTTTGCCAAAGACAAGACCACAGGAATGACCTTGGGGCAAATCACCTGCCCTCAAGAGATGCCAACAGCCCTTCATCTACACCTGCAACCTCTGCTGACGTCTTTCTGCACTGAAAACCCTCGAGCCTCTAATCCTGGCACTTAGAGAAATGATCCTTCACAAAGGAGAGCACGTGGCATGTGCAGGAAATGAAAAGGCAGCAGTGCAGGAAACCAGGACACAGCCCCTACCATTAGCTGGGACGGTTCACAACTGGCATGAGCTGGTGAGAAAATTATGACTTCCACAAAGGTGCCTGTGGGCCTGAGGCAGGGCAGGACTGCTATAAAAGGCAGCCCAAGTCTCTGCTCTCTCATCCACTTCTCTCGCCTCCTTCTCCTCAGGAATCAGGTGAGTGGGAAGCCTCTTCTCCTCCTGCTGCTGCTTCAAGACCATGTCTTTCCTCCCTGCAAGTCTCAGCTGATGGGGGCTGTGCTAGGCCAGGGCTAGGAGCTGCTGGTGCTGGGAGAGGGAAGGGGAGAGAAGGTGTTGTGCAGAGAGAGGCTGGGACTTGGCTGAGGAGGCTGGTGGGCTTTGGGCTGGGCAGTGGAATGTGGGGCAGGAGGTGGCTTGGCTGCAGGGGGATTGGCTGCAGGGCTGCTTCTCATGTGTGCCCACTTTGTGCTCCTCTGCCCTCCCTTCCAGGTGCCCTTTTGAGCTACAAGACATGTCCCGCTGCCAGCCCTGCAACCCTTGCTGCCAGCCCTGCGGGCCCACCCCGCTGGCCAACAGCTGCAATGAGTGCTGTGTCAGGCAGTGCCAGAGCTCCACCGTGGCCATCCAGCCCTCTGCTGTGGTGGTGACCCTGCCCGGGCCCATCCTCAGCTCCTTCCCACAGAACACCGCCGTGGGATCCTCCACCTCCGCTGCCGTTGGCAGCATCCTCAGCTGTGACGGAGTGCCCATCAACTCCGGGGGCTTTGACCTCTCCTGCATCACCAGCTGCTACCCTCGCAGATGTGGGCCCTGCTAAAGCTTATATCATGGGTCTGGGCATGAGATAGAACTTCAGGACATTCTATTTGCTTCTTCTGCTTTTCCATCTATTTTTTTTGTGGTCTCAGGCTGCTGAGGCCAATACACGTTGATCTGTTGCCCTCCCTCCCTCCCTCTGCCAAGCAGGCAGATGGACACCCTGCACGAGCTCCACTGCATCTTAGTGGCTGCTCCTGGGGCTCTCTGGGAGCCACCTCCTTTCCTCCTTTAGATTCAATAAATCTGTTGTGCATCCAAGCTTGTTCCTCCGAGTCCTCCTTCATCTTGTGGCAACTCTTCCATTGTGCTCAGGGAACATGTTGGACAAAACAGATCTTGGGAATCCCTGTAGTGCATTTTACTTCACTTTGGGCATTTAGTGTTGGAGCTGTCCTACACATCCCTGACTGCTTGACAGACAAAGGCCATTAGAGAGACACTGGAACTAAAGGGTGTCATGAAGGGGGAAGAAAAAGAACTTTTCTTGAATACAGTCCATGATCTCCTCCTCCACCTTCTCCTCCCCTCCATTACCCACTCTGGGGTCCATGGCCAGCACACAGGAGCACAGGCAGATGAGATATGTGCCTCCTACAGTCCCTCAGCACAGGCAGGCAAAGCCTCTGTGCAGACATGCAGGGCTGAGACAATCCCACCTTGGGATGGGGATCAGCCACGCTCAGGCTATGCAGTGGTAAAGGACTTTGGGCTGAGTTTGTGCAAATGACTTCTGGCTTCACTAGTAATTGAAAACATTCCTCCCATGTATGGATGTCTGTCCATCAGTGTCTTCCTTACTGAAACCATGGACCAAAGCAGTGCCCAAGAGCAGCAGCCAAAGGAAGGCAGACCCTGGGGAACAAAAGTTTTCTGCAATGGACAGCCCAGAGACCAGAGGCTCATAGAATGGTTTGGGATAGAATGCACTGAATGGATCATCTAATCCCACCCTCCTGTCAAGGGCATGGACGCTTTTCACTAGAGCAGGGTGCTCCAAGCCCCATCCAGCCTGCTCAGAACACCTGAATGGATGGAGCATCCCGAAGCTCTCCATGCAACCTGTGCCAGTGCCTCCCCACCCTCAGAGGGAAGAATTTCTTCCTAATATTTCATTTATACTTGCCATCTGTCACTTTAATCCCTTTTCTCTTTGTCCCACCACTACAAGCCTTTCTGCACAGCTCTGCCCTTCAGTGTGCCCATGGGATTCCCAGGGGAGAACACCCATATCCATACCTGGGAGAAAATGGGATGTGCTTGGCTGCTGTTCTATTTATTTCCCAGAACTAAAGAGGCATCTTAAGAGACACACACTGCAGACAGGGAACAGCAAAGAAGGACCTGAGCAACTGAACTTTTTCTCTAGTCTCTTGTCACCTTGGGAGAAGTGAGAAGTCCCAAGGGGTGAGTCAGCAGGTCCAAATTAGACTTCTGTCTCGGGTGGCAGATACAGGTACCCAGAGCATTGCTGTTATGGGTACATTGAAGGGAGGGAGCCGTAGAGAATTCATTCCATTATGTCATCTGAAGGGGCCAGTCTGCCCATCCGGCATGGGAAGTTTGAGAGAGGCTCTTGCCATGTGTCTGAGTTCCCCTGAGGTTTCTTTTCACCGCTGGAACTGTTCCTGCCTCGCTGGGAAAGCAGCACAGCAGGGAGGACCTGGAACAACCCCGGGGTTTTGCTACCGCTCACCCTCCACCGTAAGCGGGGAGAGAAAGAAAGGGAAACCCTTCGCTGCCACCTCGGGGGATCACAGCAGTGTGCGGGGAACCCCAGCCCTCTGTCTGCACCCACTCACCAGCCCGGACCCACCCAGCTCACAGCACCCCAGGCGCTGCTCCTGCCGCTCCCCCGTGGCCCAGCCAGGCCAAAGCAGGCCCACAGAGCAGGCTGGAGAGAGCACATGGCAGTGAACAAAGAGAGTCTGAACTAACACCACCTCTGCAATTGAGACCTGAACCTAAACGGGTGATGGGGAGTGACCAGCCCAGTGGTGTAACTCTGCAAGCAACACAGTTTTCTTACG